CTGCTCCACATGTGTGCTCACATGTGCGCTGGGTAAAATGCAGGGACTTAATTTCCCCACCAGGGGATCAATACAGTGTATAAAAAAATAATTATTTACCCAGAATGCTTTGTGTGTAAATAAAATGACTCCGTCCATGTTAAAATATATTTTTAAAAATTTACAAAACTAAACAGCCTACAGTATTTTTACAGTCTTTATTTTACAGTGAAAATATATGTTTATCAAATAAAGTCTAATGTTACAACTAATCAGGGATCCTTTTAAGGAAACTGGGCCTTTTAGTTAATGCTAAAGCTAAATTTCTATGGTATATGATTGACACTCGTAGAAAAACTCAGTAGTGACCTGTGTTTCGTAGACGCCTTCGATGTCTGGAGCAGAGAGGTCAGCGTTGATCTCATTGATGTGCTTCTGGTACATGTCCTCTGGTACGGAGTACTGGTACAGGTAGTACACCATGTTGGACCGAGGCAGCATCCGGTTCACCTGAATGCGAAGTTGTAAATTAGCAGCTTAATTTGTTAACAGGTTTTAATCATTTATAAAAMGGCAGTCTGTTGTTTTAGTACCTTTTTGTACACGGCTCCCTCCTCCTGCTTTGGGACTTTCTGGTTGACGTAGAAAACTCTTGGGATGTTGAGTTTCATGCAGTGAAGATCGTTCCCAATCACAGCCCACAGCTTGTACAGACCAGGGTGGCTCGTCTCAGCAATCTGGAAGGCGAGAACATTGGCATAATGTTGTGTTTTGTTCACATTTCTCAAATCCTCACGCTAAAGTGACCTTTTCTTTACCTGCACTATCTGCCACGGCATGTCCAGGATGCTGCGGGCCGTTCTGCGGAGGAAACTTCCTAAGCTGGTGGAGGGGCCATCTCTGATCACCCCCCCACCAACAGGTTGGACTTCACCRTCCAGCAGCTTCCTCCTCTTCTTCTTCTCCTTCCTTTGCCTCAGCTGCAGCTCCCATTTTTTCTTATGATAGCGCAGCCAAACAAGAAGCTCCTCCTGCACAGAGAGGTGGCTGTTAAAATCGAGCGTGAAGAAAAAATAAATTAAAAAAATGCACGTCCGTGTCGCTTTTTTACCCGTGTCGTTCCCATCGGCGGGGGAGGTCCTAGGATTTCTCTCCACGACTGCGTCAGCTCGACATCCTGAGACTCCACCTGGCTGTYGTCTCCCTGAGAGGCCCGTTTCCTCTTGTGGCAGATGGGGATGGCGGGCTGCAGAGGTCTGGCTGGCATCCCAAAGTCCTCTATGTCTGGGGCTTCACCTGCTTCAGGCTGGTGGGTCACCTGGAGGAGCAGAGTGGGCTCGTTCCCGAAACTACGGAGCTTTAACCAGAACCACGATTCAAACTGGATCATCTAAGCACCAGGTGAACCTACCTGTCTCTTGCCCTCACTGGTAAACAGCTCACTGATCTTCTTTTGCTTGTAGATGTCATTCTTTTCCAGGAGTTTCTTGTGAAGCCAGTCAGGATGTCTCACTCTTGGAACAGGATTCTTCACCTGATAATAAACAGAAGCAAAACACAATTCATGTCAAAAATGAACTTCAG